CCAAACTCCACACTGCTGGCCCCAAGGCTATGCAATGGCTAATACAGTATTGCCAACTTCAAGGGATCAAATCTCATGAGATTGGCCCAACAATCACGACATTTTTAAAAGGATTCTATTGTGGTTTCTAGGTCAGTCTCTTGATGTTTGAACTCCCCTGACCCCTCCCCAGGGCGTGCGCATGTGACAATCAGTGTTGCCCACTCTCCCACATGTCCTGGAGAAGGTGATTTTGGGTCCTGCTGCAGGAGCTCTCACCCCCCATCTGCCCGTCTCCTGCCCAGCAATTAATCCTGTTCCCCAGACCCCCATCAGTTCGGTCCCCATCCAACACCCCCCAATTCAGTCCCCAGCCCCCATCATCACCACCCCATCAGTTCAGCACCCCTACCCCACTGCCCTCAGTTCACCCTGCCAGCACTCACCCTATCTGCTCAGAACCCACCAGCAATACAGCCCGTCAGCCCATCAGCCCCCCGCTCACTTCAGGCCCCCTGCAGCCCCCAGGCCATAATAAACCCAGCCCCACCTCTGCTCCTCCTGGGGTTCTTCACCCTCCCTAGGCAGGGGAGCAGCCGCACTGGGGTGGTGACAGCGGGAGCCCCAGCCGTGCCGAGGGCAGCTGACAGGATTTCAAAGTAAAATGAAGCCTCATTTTTAGAACTCTCAAATGTCGGGATTTTTTTTCAGCCACAGCTGAGAGTTCTATCGCGAGATCACGAGTGAGGCTTCATTTTACTCAGAAATCGCATCTCTCTCGCTCAATTCATGAGAGTTGACATGTCTGCTAATAGGTGATGTCTACCTAACCCCTTCTGACATTTTGAACATTTTTTCTTTTGACTTATAAAGTAGAGAGAGGAAACAGAAATGTCTATTTGTGTATGTTGAATTTTCTCATTCTTCATTGCACCACTTGTGCATTTGCTAATAATAATAATATGGCCAGGGGATGTGATGTATGCGCATAAAGAGTTCTGAGAATGAGGTGAGATGTTCCTCTCTGATTTTCCAAAAGGCTCATTTTTAAATTCTTAGATCTACAGAGATCCACTGCTCACCTCCTCTCCTGCACCCCAGCCCATCTGGTTAACCCAACCACTAGTTACAAATTCTAAGAGAGGAAAGAATCGACTTTTCTGTTTTTAGGAAAGATCTGGGCAGCCACCAGTAATATGTTGCTCAGCTCCTGTCAAATGCAAACTTGAAACAAAACCTGAACTATGGTGCTGACAATGAGCAACCATAATTCATATGAAAGTTTTCACTCCCCCTTTGATCCCAGAAATTTACCTTTGTCCCACTGAGGTTTAGATGACAGTGAGTCTAGAGGAAGAAAAGGGTGAAAAAGACGAAATGTCAGGTTGTCATGTTTAGGGATATATTCACATTGTTAATGTTCTAACACAAAGGCAAAATGAAAAGAAAACAAACTTTATGCAGTTCTAGGTAAGGAGGTTAAGTGCAATTCAGACCAATACAAATCGTTACACACCTCACTAAAAACTAACCACAAACCCTCTGAAACCAACACATAATTCACAGACAGACCCATACACAGACACTTTTTCACTGATTAGCATTCAATCAACTTTACATCTGCCCTTGAACCATTAGTACTCAGTAAAACTGGCTCATCCTTCCTGACAGCCCTGGTGGTCTCGTTATCTCCAGCTCAGGAGGATAAAAGGTGGAGAATCTCTAAAACGGGGGTGGGGAACCTACGGCCCATGGGCCAGATACACCCTGTTGCTAAATTTAATCTGGCCTGTAGCACCCCCCCACCCACTGGAGGGTTGGAGCTGCGAGTACTGAAGCCCCGAGCCTCTGTGCAGAGCCGCGGGAACTAGGAGTGCGGAGGGTACTGCAGCACCCTCCAGGTTTTGCACAGGGTCCCAGCCATGGTCCCACGCCCAGGGTCCCAGCTGGCTGCTGGACCCCCACCCGGGGTTCTGCCCCTGGCACCGCACGCGGGGTCCCGTCTGCTGGCCCCGCACCCAGGGCTCTGCTCCCGCCCCCAGCTGTGGTCCCAGCCTCAGCCCCCTTACCCCTGTCCACATCTCCCCCCCCCCCCCCGAGCCACGGCCCAGTCTTGGCCCCAGCTCTGGAGAGAGGGGGCACAGACATGGGTAAGGGGGGTGCCAGGTAAAAAGTTTGGGGGCCACTTGCTTTCAGCACCCCCACTGTAAAAATTGTTCCAGTGCCACTGAGTGCGGGTCTGGAGCCGCGAGCGCCGGCTTGGCCTGCTGCAGGGGGAAGCCCCGAGCCTTCACGCCCCCCCCCCCCCCCCGCGGGTGAGTGGCCTGTGACTGATTTTTTTCTGTGGGTCAATGACCCGTGATAGAAAAAAGGTTCCCCACCCGGCTCCAAAGCAAGAGAGAGACTGTGATGACACAGGAGGACTTGCAGACAAAAAATCCAAACAAACATACTTCAAAAACAGTGAATTCAGCAGGAAGCCCAAGCTCAGGTTAACGTTCATAGCTGCTAAGAAAGGAAACCCCCAGGGAGTGCGAATGTAGGCCCCTAACCCAGTGTGTATGTGCTGTATTGAGAGCTGAGGAGGGAATTCATAGGTTCCAAATGATTAGTTGACTATCTCCATCCACAATCATTGTCCCTAAGAGATTTCCCCAGCTCTGTCAATTATCAGTGTAACATACGTGAGAAAATTCCCCAGGTGACTGTTTATTACCTGTGAATTTCTTCATTATGGGCTCCACAGAGGCATTTCTTTGAGAAGATTCCCAGATTCTCCATTTCAGGTCAGAAGAAAAGGCCACTGGGTTCTGAAACTTCTCCGTCTCGCATCTGAAGAACAACCCAGTGTTACTCGTTGTGGAGTTCGGTCATATTTGTGTTTTACTAAAACGTATTTTATTCTAGTGAATGGTTGTAGCTCAGCAGACCCTGGAGGGTTAAAGTCTCTCTTGCCCCAGGAATAGGTCCAATCCCAGCTTGGACACGACAAGCTTCCCCTTCATTCTGGTGAGACCGATATTGGAAAACTGCATCCAGTTCTGGTGTCCCCAGTTTAAAATGGACGTTGAGAAACTGGAGACGGTGCAGAGAAGACCCACAAAACTGATGTGAGGGCTGGTAAAAATGCCTCGCACTGTGAGAACCCTGGCACTTGAGTGTGGGGTATAAATACCGTCATGGGGAGAACAGACTAGGTACTAAAGGGCTCCTCAGTTTGGCAAACAAAGGCACAACAAGGACCAATTGCTGGAAGCTGAAGCCAGAGAAATTCCAATGGGAAATCAGACAGACATTGTTAACAGTGCGGGTGGATTAACCATTGGAAGAAACTGCCAAGGGAAGTGGTGGATTCTCCATCTCTGGATGGGCGCCAGAACAGGGGGGCCATGGCCCCATCACTTTTAAAAGTGGGAGAGCTCTGCTCTCTGCCTTTGTACCTGCCTTAAAGGCAAGTGATGGGGGGAGGGGGCGGAGAGGAGCGATCAGGGGGCGGGGTCTCGGGGGAAGAAGCAGACCAGAGCTAGGGCCATGGTTTGGGCACTGCTGCCCGCCCCCCCCCACACACACACTTCTAGGAAGCTTCAGGCATTACTGTCTGTTGATGTCTTTAAATCTAGACTGACTGGCTTTCTGGAAAGTGCTTTAGTCAACGCACGTTAGGATTTAGTCAAGTACAAGGTATTGGGGTGAATACATGAATAACGGGGTGAAATTTAAGGACCTGCGATACATAGACACCAACTCTGTGGGTGCTCCGGGGCTGGAGCACCCACAGAAAAAATAGCCCCACAGATCAGCTTCCCCCCTACCCCCCAGCGCCTTCTGCCCGCTAGCTGGCCCTGCCTCCCAGCGCCTCCCACCCACCGGGAATCAGCTGTTCAGCAGCAGGCAGGAGGTGCTGGGGGGAGGGGAGGAGCAAGGGTGGGAAAAGGTGGGGCAGGGCAGGAAGAGGCGGGGCCTTGGGGGAAGGGGATGAGTGGGGGCAGAGCCCGGGGCCGAGCAGGGGTCTAACACCCACAGGGAAATGAGAAAGTCGGAGCCTGTGCTGTGATATACAGGAGGTCAAATGTGATGATCTTACAGTTGTTTTTGGCATTCAACTTTATGCATTTATGAAACTCAGTAATATCATGGGGCAATGAGTTGCACAGGTAAATAATGAATTGTGTAATAAAAAAACAGTATTTCCTTTTCTCAGCATTACACTAGTTGCCTTTCAGTTGCACTGAACATCCCCTCGATCTTGTATTGTGAGTGTGGGTAAGCAGGATCACTTGACTTATATCCTGTACACCATTTAAGAGAGATAATTAGTGACAATCCTTGCGGTGATGTAGATACCCATCGTACCAGGACCTGGCGTGAGACCCACTAACCCATTTCAAAGATAATTTATGTTCTTATCTAGTTCTTTGGCTACATACAATGGTCAGTTCACTAGCTCAGGGGTTCTCAGCTTACAAAGGCCAGTGTGTGTCCACTCCACACGGAGGGACGGCAAGCTACTGAATGAACTTGCACTGCCCAGGGAGCCTTGAGCAGTGTGAGTCGGTGCAGTTCTGGGGGGTAGGGCTGGAGCTGGGGGGAACTGGTTGGCGCCTTCTATTGCTGGTTCATCAATGGCTGGGAGATGATTCATGTAACACAGCTGGGCGGGTCCCTGCCCGTAGGTGTCTGTGTCAGCGCAGGGCCTGTCAGGCTTGTAGCTTGACATCAGCATCACAGTGCGAGAGGCAGCCCAGGTTGGGGATTTGGAGGGCTCAGCAGACCCACAGTCCAGGCTGCGCCCCGGGAACCCGTCACACGGATGTAAATCTCCCTTGTGGCAAATTAAACCAATTACTTTTTGTTCTGCCCTCAGTGGACTTGAAGAACAACTGATCACCACTCTCTGTAGAACAGCCTCAGACATAGCTGAAGACTGTTATCAGGGTCTCCCTTAGTCTAGAGAAGAGAAGGCTCAACACACCCATTTATTTCAACCTTTCCTCCTAGCTCATCCATTCTAAACCTCGGATCATTTCTGTTGCTCTCCTCTGAACTCTCTCCAATTTTTCCACATCTTTCTGAAAGTGTGCTGCCCAAAACTGGACACAATATTCCAGTTAAGGTCTCACTGTGGCAAGAGGGATAGCTCAGTGGTTTGAGCATTGGCCTACTAACCCCAGGGTTGTGAGTTCAATCCTTGAGGGGGCCACGTAGGGATCTGGAGCAAAATCAGTACTTGGTCTGCCTAGTGAAGGCTGGGGGCTGGACTTGATGACCTTTCAAGGTCCCTTCCAGTTCTAGGAGATAAGATATCTCCATTAATTTAAAAAAAAAAAAAAAAAAAAGGGTGGAACAACGTCCTCCTGTGTCTTACATATGACACTCCTGTTAATACATCTGTGGTGGGCTGTTCACCCCACATCAACCCCCCAAAAGAGAGAAGGAAGCAGAGAAAGAGGAGATTAAGGAGACAGGTCACACATGAGCAGTTTAGGCGGGAGAAGTAACCCCTGATTGGACGATGAAGCTCAGCTGAGCAGGTGGAGGCTGGGCTAGTATAAAGCCAGGAAGCTGGCAACAGAAATTGGCTGCAGTGAGGAAGTCTGCAGCCACCCTGTGTGCATTGGAAAGGGAAGGAGGGAACCCAGGGAAAGAACAGCCTGCTAGGAGCCGGGCCCTGAAGGAAGGGAGTACTTAGAATCATAGGATTAGAAGGGACTGCCAGGGTCATCTAGTCTAACCCCTATAAGAGAGAAGGGCGGAGAAGAAAGCCTATGGGAGGTGAATAGGTAGGGTCCCTGGGGTGGGACCTGGAGTAGGGTTTTTCCCGGACATGTCCGGCTTTTCGGCAATCAAACCCCCGTCCGGGGGGAATTGCCAAAAAGCGGAACATGTCCGGGAAAAATGCCGTCCGGGCACTTCCCCTCCCGCGGCTGCTCTGTGAGTCCTCCCCTCTCAGACTTCGGCTCTGTTAAGAGCCAAGCTGCCTGAGTCAGCGCTACCGGCTTCGGGCAGCCCGCCTTGCCTCCGGACCCCAGCCGCCAGCCGGGCACTTCTCCTCCCCGGCTCCAGCTGCTGTGCTCCGGCGGCTGGGGTCCGGAGGCAAGGGGGGCTGCCCGAAGCCGGAGCGCTACCGGCTTCACCGTTTGCCGGGCAGCCTCCAGACCCTGCGCTTCCCCTCCCGGGCTCCAGCTGCGCTGGGCAAGCGCCGGCCGGGGGCGCAGGGTCTGGGGGCTGCCCGGCAAACCGTGAAGCCAGTAGCGCTCAGGCAGCCCTTTCCCCGTGGCTGGGAGTGGGAGGGAGGAGGGGGCGGAGTTAGGGCAGGGAAGGGGCGGAGTTGGGGCGGGGCTGGGGGTGGGGAAATGGGCGGGGCCAGGGCCCGTGGAGGGTCCTCTTTTTTTATTTTTTAAATATGGTAACCCTAACCTGGAGCAGTGGGCGGGCTTGAGTTCCCCTACCAGCCACTGATGGAGCGGCATTGCTGGTTCAGTGACACTCTACACCCCAGAAGGGGAAACCATTCAGTGATCTGGCTGGAGGCTGAGTCGCGAAGAGGAAGCTGCAGCTCTTGGAGTAAGAGATGAGCCTGCAGAGTGAGAGAGACACAACGGGGGAGAGACGGCAAGGGGAGGGGTTGGCCCTGGAAGAGAGCTAATCCCCAGAACAGCCAGGAGGAGGCACCACCTGCGGTGAATACAGCAACCTGGGACAACATCCCACAATGACATTTGCCTTTTTCACAAGAGCATCACACTGCCGACTCCTTCAATGTGTGATCCACTGGAACCCCCAGATGTTTTTCCGCAGTCCTGCTGCCTAGCCAGTGATTCCCCATTTCATAGTTGTACATTTGATTTTTCCTTCCAAAGTGCAGCACTTTGTCTTTATTGAATGTCCCCTTCAATCGATTTTAATCCTTCCTCCCTCTGCCCTGTGTCTCTTGTGTCTATTTAGACTGTAAACGCCCTGGGGCAGGGACTGTCTCTGTCTGTGTGTCTGTGCAGCACCCAGCATGTTGGGCCCTGGTTTTGCCTTGAGCCTCTAGGCACTGCCATAGTACTACTGACAATAGCACATTATAAACTCCTTAGAGCAGGGAATGTCTCTTCCATCATATCTCTTCCCACGCCCAGCACACTGACAGAGCTCACTGCATAATTAGAAACAATTAACAAACAGCTCATTGAATAGTCATCAGGTGGCCCTGACTTTCCATCCCTACCCACCTAGGTGGAGTTTGGAGTCTATGACCTAGAAATGAGAGACCCATTCTCCATCCCCAATCTCCTGAGGTCTCCATTCCACCAGCTACACTATAAACCCCCCTGTCTGTAGGTAAATAACTCTTTTCTCAGGCTGCCCTATTCTGGAGTCTAGTCAAAATAACAACAGCCCCAAGATTAGATTTAACGGAGGGAGATTGGGAACCAACCCCACACTCTGCACTGCTGGCCCATGGGGAGCCAGGTCTCATGTCCAAAATCCATTCCCTGCATTGTGAAGTGAAAGGGAGAGTGAGAAGGAGCCACCTACCTGCTCAAGGTGCCTTTGATGTCCTAGAGGAGAAAGATAAAAGGAAATTCAGTCCCATCTCTCTTACTAAGGATCCCTCCTGCTCTGGAGGGGACTCACTTTGTCTTCATAACTTGAGGTTCAAAGTGAAATTATTTGTTATTTATTAACACAAACAAAAACTTTGAATGTGTTGCCTTTGCGCCTTTGGAAAAGTGCTGTAAGTTCAGGATCTGGGCCCAGGAAGTTTATACGTGGAAGCACAGTAGCTCTTTGAATAACCGTGACCCGGCACATGGAATCAGAGGGCTGAGTCTAGTGATGAATGAGGTTTAATATCACTCTGGATACTGTGTTATCCATATCAATAGCTGATCACTTTGAGTTTTGCTAAATGCTGGGTCTCAACGACATCCGGTGGCAATGAGTTCCACAGTCTAATTACTTGATGTGTGAAAAAGTGTTCGCTGGATCAGTTTTGAATTTGTCACCTTCTAATTTTATTGAATGTCCCTTTGTTCTTGCATTAGGAGACAGGGAGAACAGAGTTTGGAGTTTGCCATTTTTGGAGGCGTCTTCTCCAACTAGAATTCAAATGCAATTTTTTTTTCCATTTAGGGCTTGATCCAATGCCCATTGTACTCAAGAAGTATATTTCCATTGACTTTACTGGGAATTTTATCAACCCCTTCAGGAAAAATAATGTATATTTTAGCAATACTATATTTGACCATTCACTCCTACACGCCAAAAGTGAAGGGTTAGGAGACTTTCTTGCCCCGTGAAAGGTTCTGGGGTGTTTCTAACACCGTCTCACCTGCAGGAATTCACATGCCGGCAGCTGGCACTTCTGCTCCATCTCACTAATCAGGGAACTGAAAGAGGATAGTTCCTCAGATAGTTTGGCAACATACTCATCCCTCCTCTTTTCAATTTCCTTATTCAGCTCTTCCAGCTGGGCCAGCAGGAGTCGCTCTTGTTCCTCCAGAAACTGGCGCAGTTGCTGAAAGTCAGCCACAATCTTCTGCCTCCCAGTTTCCAGCTGTTTCTGAAATGACGAGACACAAACAGGGAAAGCACAAGTCAAGGACAGGAACACGGAGTGAGTTATGGGACATTTTATAAAGCCTGATGTATGCACACGGGAACATGTCATTGCAACCCCAGAGAATTTAACTCCCGATATTTTATGGAGAACAAACGCTATGCTCAATAGACAGACGATTTTCCAGTGGATTTTCAAGAATCCTAACTGGGTGTTTAGAATATGAATGTATCTTGCATTATGAGGATATTCTGTTATCAGTGGCATCTAGAAAACCAGACCCTTCAAACAACAGGAAGGACAGCAGGTGCGGGATCCAGAACTGGACAGGCCAGAGTTACCTCTGGGAGCAAACAGCAGAACCCAAACTCAGAAGCGCTAGACTTGAACTGGGGAACAGACGCTCTCCACAAACACACCTAGTGAATAGGGCCACGTTTCTAAAACAGGCTTTAAAATGAGAGCAACAATTGCTCTGACGAGTGTTGAAAGCACAGGTTAGGGTACAAACATTTTGTCACATCATAAATCTCCAATTTTATCCACAGAGGGATTCTGAGCACAAATTGAGTGGCTGGCAAGACACCTATTTGCATGTACAAATCGGAGTTTGCAGGGCACTTAGAAACGTGTGTATGTGAACTGGACAGAAGCCCACCAATTCATGCCATTTCTGGAGCACTCTAGCTCCTGATACCCCAGGAGCAAGAAACTTACATCATATTTAGAACCCAGATCTTCTTCATGGCAACGTCTAGCAGCGATATCACTAGGGCCTGTTCCAAAGCTCACCAACATCAATAGGAGTCTTTTCAATGACTTCAGTAGGGTTTGGTGAGGTGTTAAGTGACCAGCCTTCTCTGGGGCAGCAGATTTCTCTAGTGGCTGCCCGCGCTATTCTGTTGTGGTTATTGTTAGAGGCTTTTCCCTTAGCCTCGCCCCTGGTTCTTGTCACACAGACAGAAAGCAGGAGACCAAAAGTCCGAAGCGCAGGTAATGCGATGTTTGCTGGGGTTAGTTCCAAGCAAGGATATCCATAGCTCTACACACCAGCAGAGCCTTTACCCCGCGTCCCCCTTTCCGGCTCTGACGCCGCCGAGCTTTTACCCCGCGTCCCCCTTCCCGGCTCCGATGCTGCAGAGCCTTTACCCCGTGACCCCGTTCCCAGCTCTGACGCCGCAGAGCCTTTACTCCACGTCCCCTTTCCAGCTCTGACATGCAGAACCTTTACCTCGTGACCCCCTTCCCAGCTCTCATGCCACAGAGTGTTTACCCCGCATCCCCTTGTGACGTTATTGACAGAATCAGTAACTGTCTAGATCATTGTTGCAACCAAAGTCCTGTAGTGGCACCAAATTTTGTATAAAGGGGGTCAAATAAGGTGTCTAAGACAAGGTTATGGTTTGCTGGTTATGATTATGCTGTCTGTATGTGTGTATCATTGTTGTAGTTGAAGTTATGAATATTGGCTCTATCCTGTCTGTATTTCAAACTTGTGCTATGCTTCTGGGTGACACCCCAGACAAGTTAGTGTTAGCTCTGCCTAGCCTGCTTGATGGCCCATCAAGGACCATCAGCTATACAACTGACCCATTGAGAGAAGGCAGATGGGCCTTGTGACTCAGCAAGGGATGCAGGGACATGCCTATGGACAGAACTCTGAGGTTTTTCCATGCCATGTGATGGACAGCTTGTCCTTGGGACAAAGAAAGCAGAGACTACATGGCAAGAGACTATAAAAAGCTGCTGCAGCTCCTCCATCTTGTCTTCAGTCCTGCTTCTTACCTCTGGAGGGACTTTGCTACAAACTCTACACAAAGGACTGAATGACCCATCCCAGCTGTGGATGTACTCCAGAGACTTGACTTGAACCTGCAGTTTATTCTATCACTGCTACAAGCCTGAATCAAGAACTTTGCCATTACTGTATGTCATTGATTCCATTTAACTAGTTCTAGCTCTCACATATATCTGTTTCCTTTTATGAATAAACCTTTAGATTCTAAAGGATTGGCGACAGCGTGATTTGTGGGTAAGATCTGATTTGTATATTGACCTGGGTTTGGGGCTTGGTCCTTTGGGATCGAGAGAACCTTTTTTCTTTTACTGGGGTATTGGTTTTCATAGCCATTCGTCCCCATAATGAGTAGCACTGGTGGTGATACTGGGAAACTGGAGTGTCTAAGGGAATTGCTTGTGTGACTTGTGGTTAGCCAGTGGGGTGAGACCGAAGTCCTGGCTGGCTGGTTTGGTTTGCCTTAGAGGTGGAAAAACCCCAGCATGGGGTTTTAACTGCCCTGCTTTAAGCAGTTTGTCCTGAATTGGCACTCTCAGTTGGGTCCCACCTGAACGAGCATCGTTACACCTCCCCTTCCCAGCTCCGATACCACAGAGCCTTGCCTGTGTCCCGGTTCCCCATTTCCTCCTTCTCAGCAGGTCCAAATATTCCTGCAGTGCGCGCCCCTAGTCACATCCCTTACAACTTGTGGTCATGTTCCGTTCTGGAGGGTCGGGAGTCTGGGGTCTTCATCCCACCTCTTCTGTACCCCAGCGGAGGGTAAGGAATAAGGTTGTGTCCTGGCCAAGGCCAGGCATTTCTTTGGTTTTTAGTGGTTCTTATGCCTCCCCACAATTCCCCTTTGCCCCTCCTAACTGGTTGCTTGACCTTGGCTTGAGAGAGGAGCCAGGCAGCCTCCCAGTGTGTGCTCGTATTTAAAAATTGTATTGAAGCTAATGTTAAAAAATTATATAATACATAGGTTGGGAAAAGAGAGTGTCTGTACATCTGGGTATAGTGCTTAGATTATCCACAAATATAAAGTTAGTTTTTAAAAGTCACCTTGTAACACTTTCTCTGTTCTTATCTGTTCCCATCATACTAACAAACCCATCTGGCCAGGCAGAAGCAACACACAGTGTCTTTCACACACATTAGTAAGGATGTCAGAATATCTAAAGTCAAACCCAAAATTCTATCTCAAGCTCACAAACAGGCTTATATGCTAACAGTTCTGTCTGTTGAAAGTAAAGCCAAAAAATGGGGGAGGAATTTGCAAAAAAATTTGAAATTTCAAAGTTGTTTCCATTTTTCAGTGTTCAAAATGGGACTTTTAATTTGTTTGAAAAATATCATGAAATAACTTGAAAAAAATTCACATTTCTGTTTCCCTTTTTTTCTAAAATGTAATAAAATAATGTCCATTTCCACCACCGCCCCATTTGTTCCTTTTGTTCCATTCTCTCTGGAACTCTTCAAAAGTTCTCCCATTTTAGAAAAATTGGCAAAAAGGAAAATCTAGGAGAAAAAACCTGGAAATTATTCATGTTATTGTATCAGTGGCTAAAGGGAGGAAATGGGGAAACAAAGGGATAAAAACATTTGAAATTCTGAAAAAATTTCAGCTTTTAAAAACCAAAATGAAAACTTCAGTTTGAAATGAAAATAAACATTTTTGTTCATTCTGAAATTTCCTGTAAAAAAAACTGCTTATTTATTTATTTGCAAAAGACATTTTTCCATGGAAAAAAATTGTTTTCTACTAAATCCCATTTTCCTACAGGACTTTTTTGTGGTTGAATTTCGACCAGCTCTAGTTGAAAGACTAAAGGAGAAACTACTGTCAGCTAAACAAATTACACTCACGTTATCAATGGAAATATCTGGATTATTAAAACTCTTTCCTTAATGCTCCATTTTCCTGTTTATACTCAATTAAAGCAGAACAGTTTTTCTTTACAATGCGAATAAATAAGTAACAATCTTTCACAGAAAGGAACAAGTTTCTCACTGTTCTTCTTCTGTTAGACTAAGCAGAGTATCAATAATGTCCCCAGGGCCGGCTCTGGCTTTTTTGCCGCCCCAGGCAAAAAAGCCTCCCGCCGCCCCCTCCTCCCCCCCCCGTGCGGCCGGGGGAAGGGCGGCGAGCCTGGCTGGGGCTCCCCGCTCTCCCCGACCGGCCGGAGCGCCGGGGGAAGGGCGGAGAGCCCAGTTGCGGCCCCGCTCTCAGGCCGGAACGCCCCGCTGCGCCGCCCCCCTCCAGGTGCCGCCGCAAGCACATGCTTGGTGGGCTGGTGCTGGCCCTGAATGTCCCTGCGCACATTTGCCTCTGAGTAAGAACAGCACCTACCAGTAGTTCCTGGCTTGTTTTTTCCCCACTCGATTTATACGACAGAATCTCGTCTCTCTCTTTTTTCAAACTCTCCAAACGGATCCGAATTTTTTCCTAACAAAAGAAAAACTGGTTTAGTTTTGGTTGCTATTGGAGGCTTTCCCCCATTTTATTTATATTTTCAAGACTATTAAATGCATAATAAAAGGGGTGAGTGCTCTAACCACATGATTATAGAGTCATTCTCATGCTTGCGGTCTCTCTCTCTCTCTCTCTCTCTCTCTCCTGCAAATGACTCTCTAAGGCCTGTGTGACGGGTTGGATCACAGAAACCCCCTTGGGAGCTGCCACCCGATGTGCCAAGACTACCCCTGCTTCTGTTTTCCCTGCTAGCTCAGGACTCCAGCACCCCGTCTTGCTGAGCGAGACACTCCAGTCTGGCTCCAGACACAGACTCAGGGTCTGAATCACTTGTCCCAAAGCTACAAGTTTACCCAAAAACAGCTCACAGGAGTGTGCTTGTCTTTAGCACTCAGATGCCCAACTCCCAATGGGGTCTAAACCCAGATAAATCCGTTTTACCCTGCATAAAGCTTATGCAGGGCAAACTCATAAATTGTTCGCCCTCTATAACACTGATAGAGAGATATGCACAGCTGTTTGCTCCCCCAGGTATTAATACATACTCTGAGTAAATTACTAAATAAAAAGTGATTTTATTAAATACAGACAGTAGGATTTAAGTGGTTCAAAGTAGTAACAGACAGAACAAAGTAAGTCACAAGCAAAATAAAATAAAATGCGCAAATCTATGCCTGATCAAACTAAATACAGATAAGTTCCTCACCAGTTCCAGAATGCTCCCTTTCACAGGCTAATCTCCCTTTAGCCTGGGTCCAGCAATCACTCACAACCCCTGTAGTTACTGTCTTTTGTTTCAGTTCCCTTCAAGCATCCTGGGGGGGTGGAGAGGCTCCTTCTTTAGCCAGCTGAAGACAAAATGGAGGGGTCTCCCCCAGGGTTAAATAGACTCTCTCTTGTGGGAGGAGACCCCCCTCCTCCCTCCTATGCAAAGTCCAGCTCCAAGATGGAGTTCAGGAGTCACCTGGGCAAGTCACATGTCCCTGCATGACTCAGTCTTTACAGGCTGAAGCCATTGCCCACATGGAATCTTGCATGTCTCCAGGAAGACTTCTTATGTGGATTGGAGCATTCCAAGATGCATTGTTCCCTGATCAGGTACTTAACCTGGCGAATTCCTTCCTAAAGAAGCTGACCAAATGCCTCCCAAAGCTTACTTAGAAACCAAGCATACAGCCCATATTCTTAACCTCAAGTAGAAAATGATATATATATGTACAAATAGGATGAATAGATATAGTAGACCATAACCTTTACGGAGATATGTTACCTGGCACAGGCAGCACAAAACATATTCCAGTTATGTCATACATACATTTATAAGCACCCCCTCCCCATAAAGCCTTATGGGGTACACTGTCACAGCCTGGTCTACACTAGGAGTTTATGTCGAATTTAGCAGCGTTACATCGAATTAACTCTGCACCCGTCCACACCACAAAGCTATTTAGTTCGACATAGAGGTCTCTTAAATTCGACTTCTGTACTCCTCCCCAACGAGGAGAGTAGCGCTAAATTCGACATGGCCATGTCGAATTAGGCTAGGTGTGGATGGAAATCGACGCTAATAGCTCCGGGAGCTATCCCACAGTGCACCACTCTGTTGCCGCTCTGGACAGCAGTCCGAGCTCGGATGCTCTGACCAGCCACACAGGAAAAGCCCCGGGAAAATTTGAATTCCTTTTCCTGTCTGGCCAGTTTGAATCTCATTTCCTGTTTGGACATCGAGGTGAGCTCAGCAGCACTGGCAACGATGCAGAGCTCTCCAGCAGAGATGGCCGTGCAATCCCAGAATAGAAAGAGGGCCCCAGCATGGACTGATCGGGAAGTCTTGGATCTGATCGCTGTGTGGGGCGATGAGTCCGTGCTTTCGGAGCTGCGATCGAAAAGACGGAATGCAAAGATCTACGAGAAGATTTCAAAAGCCATGGCAGAGAGAGGATACAGCCAGGATGCAACGCAGTGCCGCGTGAAAATCAAGGAGCTGAGACAAGGCTACCAGAAGACCAAAGAGGCAAACGGACGCTCCGGATCCCAGCCCCAGACATCCCGTTTCTACGAGGCACTGCATTCCATCCTAGGTGCGGCCGCCACCACTACCCCACCACTGACCGTGGACTCTGATGATGGGGTATTGTCGACGGCCGCTTCCTCGGACATGTTAGCGGACGGGGAAGATTAGGAAGGAGATGAGGAGGACGAGGCAGTCGACAGCGCTTACAACGCTGATTTCCCCGACAGCCAGGATCTCTTCATCACCCTTACAGAGATCCCCTACCAACCGTCCCCAGCCGTTACCCCGGACACAGAATCAGGGGAAGGATCAGTCGGTAAGTGTTTTAAACATGTAAACGTTTATTTTTAACAGAACAGGAATATTAACAATATTAACAATGGGTTTTTCATGATTAGTTTGCCCTAGGCGCTTAACGTTTCAGTCCTTGGCAGTGCAACTACTGAAAAAAAAAAATCTAACAATGTCCGGTTTAGCATGATTGGTTTGCCCTAGGCGCTCTACTGTTTAGTCCCTGCCAGTGCAGCTACAGTAAAATCTGGTCTATATGTCCGGGGATAGAGCTGAAATCCTCCTGGGACATCTCCACGAAGCTCTCCTGGAGGTAATTGGAAAGCCTTTGCATCAGGTTCCTGGGGAGAGCGGCCTTATTGGGTCCTCCGTGGTAGGAAACGTTTCCGCGCCAGGAGACAAGCAAGTACTCGGGGATCATTGCCTTGCAGAGCATGGCGGCATATGGCCCTGGTCTTTGCAGGCTTTCCCGAAGCATCCTTTCTTTCTCGGTCTCTGAAATCCTCTTCAGAGTGATGTCGCTCATGGTGACCTGCTTTGAATTAGGTAGGGGAATGTTAGTATTGGGACTGCTTGCCCATTCCTTTACAGAACTGTAACCGGCGGTTTACAGCCACGCGGTGGAGGCGGGAAAGGAGCAGCATACAGGGATCTTTCCCTGGGACAGCCGCGAGGGGGTGGGACAGGGGCAGAGTTCATGCTTGCCGGGTTGCTGGCAGCAGGGACTGGCATTGCTTTGAACGTGAAAGGAGGCCAGTGCTATTATTAAAGTTTTAAGCAGCCACAAGTCTACGGCTTACCATGTCGGCCTGCTACCCAAATTCCGCTGTCCTGCCACGCTTGTCTGATCTGCACTGCAAGACCCCAGGCACTGAATGCGAAGGCTGAAAATTCGACCTTGTCCTGAGTGCGCATGTGATAGGTGCTGTGCATGGTCTTGTTCACAGAGAAAGACTATGTTCTTTGTTCACAACTAAATTTATCTTTCTGAGGAATTCACTCCCTTTTTCCCATCCCACAGCTGTGACTGTCTCCCGACCTACCCTGGCATCACACTCCCAGAGGCTAGCGCAGATTAGGCGTAGGAAGAAGAGGACACGGGAGGACATGTTCTCGGAACTTATGGGATGCTCCCGAGCCCAGGCAGCACAGCAGACCCAGTGGAGGGAGAACTTGTCCCAAATCCACCGATCACACATTGAACGGGAGGAGAGGTGGCGGCAGGAAGACCAGCAGGCGACTCAAACGCTGCTTGGACTAATGAGGGAGCAAACGGACACGCTCCGGCGCCTTGTGGATGTTCTGCAGGACCGGAGGCAGGAGGACAGAGCCCCGCTGCAGTCTATCTGTAACCGCCCTCCCCCGCCACCAAGTCCCATACCCCCCTCACCCAAAGTCCCAAGAAGGAGGGGCGGCAGAGTCCGTGAAAACTCTCACTCCACCCCTGCAGACTGCTCAAGTACCAGAAGGCTCTCATTCCCCAAAATTTGATAAGTCCTTTCCTTCCCGCCTCACCCAAGCCCCCGTCCCAGTTTCATCCCCCAGTTTCATGTGTAGTTGCTAATAAAAAAATACGTTTCTGTTAAGTACTGTTTCCATCATGTTCTTTTACAGGAGAGTCTGTCTGAAGGGGAGGAAGGGGGTTGGTAATTGGACAGGACAGTCACCTTTACCAGGGTACAGAGGCGGGGGCAGGTTCAGCAGCAGGGCACACACACATTGCAGTCACTAGTTACCCTGGTCAGTCTGGGAGGTGGTTTTCATGTTCTGTGTGTGTGGGGGGGCAGCTATGTGACTTTGTGGCGGGGGAGGGCGGTTAGAGATCTTATGCAGCGGTCCTTATCCTGGATCACAGAGCCACGCAGCAGGGGATCTGTAACCGTCCTCCCCCTGCCACAAAGTCACACAGCCCCCACACACAGAGTCCCGAACAGGAGGAGTGGCAGGCTCCATTGAAACAACCAGTCCACCAGTGCGGAGCCTGTCATTCCTCGAGTTTAGAAGCGTCCTTTGCATCACTACACTACACCCGCTCCCCACCACAGTCTGCGTCCCAGGTTCAACACTTTCCCGCGAAAACAGTAATAAAGAAAACGGTGTTCATTAACAAATTTCAAGTGATTTTATTTTTAAACGTGTGTTGGAAGGGGGGGAACGGGGTGAAGGGGGTATGTAGCTGGAGAGGATAGTGAACATTCACTGGGTAAAGAAACGGGGGCAGGTTCAGCTTCTCTGTAAACAAACTTAATAGTCACAGGTTACCCTGCTCACTCAGGAACCTAGCTTTCAAAGCCTCCCGGATGCACAGCGCGTCCCGCTGGGCTCTTCTAATCGCACGGCTGTCTGGCTGGGCGTAATCAGCAGCCAGGCTATTTGCCTCAACCTCCCACCCCACCATAAAGGTCTCCCCCTTGCTCTCACAGAGATTGTGGAGCACACAGCAAGCTGCAATAACAATGGGGATATTGGTTTCGCTGAGATCAGCGCGAGTCAGTAAGCTTCTCCATCTCCCCTTGAGACGGCCAAAAGCACACTCCACCACCATTCTGCACTTGCTCAGACGGTAGTTGAAGAGTTCTTTTTCAGTGTCCAGGGCGCCTGTATAGGGCTTCATGAGCCAGGGCATTAGCGGGTAGGCTGGGTCCCCGAGGATCACTATAGGCATCTCCACATCCCCAAGAGTTATTTTGTGGTCCGGGAAGTAAATACCTTCCTGCGGCCGTCTAAACAGACCAGAGTTCCTGAAAACGCGAGCATCATGAACCTTGCCCGGCCATCCGACGTTGATGTTTGTAAAACGTCCCCTATGGTCCACCAGTGCTTGCAGCACCATTGAAAAGTAGCCCTTTCGGTTAATGTACTGGCTGGCCTGGTGGTCCGGTCCCAGGATAGGGATGTGAGTTCCATCTATAGCCCCACCGCAGTTTGGGAATCCCATCGCGGCGAAGCCATCTATGATGACCTCCACGTTTCCCAGGGTCACTACCTTTGAGAGCAGTAGCTCAACGATTGCGTTGGCTACTTGCATCACAACAACCCCCACGGTAGATTTGCCCACGCCAAAGTGGTTCGCGACTGACGGGTAGCTGTCTGGCGTTGCAAGCTTCCAGAGGGCTATGGCCACTCGCTTCTGGACAGTCAGGGCTGCTCGCATCCGGGTGTCCTTGCGCTTCAGGGCAGGGGACAGCAACTCACAAAGTTCCAGGAAAGTCCCCTTCCGCATGCGAAAGTTTCGCAGCCACTGTGATTCATCCCAGACCTGCAGCACTATGCGGTCCCACCAGTCCGTACTTGTTTCCCGGGCCCAGAATCGCTGTTCCACAACATCAACATGACCCATTGCCACCATGATGTCCTCGGCGCGGGGTCCCGTGCTTTGTGACAGGTCTGTGCCACTCTCAGACTTCAGGTCCTCACCGCGCTGCCGTAGCCTCCTCGCCCGATTTCTCAGCATCTGCCTCTGGGAAAGGTGGATGATAAGGTGCGAGGTGTTGAGAACGGCCACAAGTGCAGCGATGGTCGCAGCGGGCTCCATGCTCGCAGTGCTGTGGCGTCCGCGCTGTCACTGACCAGAAAAGTGCGCGAACTGATTTCCCGCCGGCGCTTTCAGGGAGGGAGGGACGGCGGTAGTGACGGACGGATGACGACAGTGACCCAAAAGCACCCTCGACACATTTTTTTCCCCAGAAGGCATTGGCGGCTCGACCCAGAATTCCAATGGGCAGCGGGGACTGCGGGAACTGTGGGATAGCTGCCCACAGTGCACCGCTTCCAATGTTGACGCTTGCCCCGTTAGTGTGGACTCACAAAGTCGAATTACTGCCCTTAGTGTGGATACACACGTTCGACTTTGTAATATCGATTCCACATATTCGATTTAAGTAAAATCGAACTACTCTCGTAGTGTAGACATACCCTAAGTATTTATCCCCAGTGGAACAGCTTCAGCAGGAGAGATGGAGGGAGCCTATCTCAGAATATCCCATAGAGAGGTGGCAGATCCCTGTTCAAATCCTGTCTCCTCATCAGGTGGAAGAAGGACTTGAACCTGTGGTCTCCCATGTCCCAGGTGAGTGCTCTAAACACCGGGATAAAAATGATGAGGGAGAGCATTCTCTGTGTGAACTCACCTGAGGGGCCTCAGGCCGCCTACCAGCTTAGACCCCACACAGGAGTTAGGTGGCCTAAGGCTGATCTTCCCTGGGGCTTAGGTGGGAGACCGGCATCGAGATGCAGTGCGCATGGCCAGAAGTAGTAGCACAGGTGCTGAGGGAACTAGTTACTGAAAACACAGAGGCCGAGGGAGTTTAGGCACCTCCAGGGCTCAGCAGGAATGTTGTGAATTGCAGTGGAGGCTCAAACTGGGGTTTAGGCACCTAAGTAAATACTGTGAATCGAGGCCGCACTGACAGAGAAACTGAGCTAAGGACGGGGCTTGACTGAGGCTTCACTGCCTCAGTGCACATGTGTTCGCTCTGCTCATGCTCACTGTGAATTTTCTGAGCAGTCTCAGAACCACACTGTCACCCAGGGCATGTTTTGATACATCACCGGCCTTGGCATTTCTAAGTGGGCCTGAGAAATAATCTTCCCCCTCCCCCTAAGCACAACCAATTCCTGACCCCCACTAAGCACTGGGATTGCCGGAGAATGTAGGGGAGAGTCAGTGAGATAAGTCACTGGGACACAGTCCAAACAGAACTAACCCAGTGATACACAGAAACTGTGGGCAGGTACCATCCTTAATTCTTCTTTACCCCCCGCCCCCTATACAAAAAGCTGCTTGAGCCTTGCAACCATATGTGACGTTATTGATATAATCTGGGACCATATAGAACATGCTTGCAAACAAAGTCCTGTAGTGGCACCAAATCTTGTATAAAGGGGGTCAAATGAGGTGTCTAAGACAAGGTTATCTTTTACTCGTTATGATTATGCTGTCTATGTGTGTGTGTGTGTGTGTGTATCAATTTTGTAGTTGAATGAATATTGGCTCTATACTGTCTGTATTTCAAACTTATGCTATGCTTCTGGGAAACATCCCAGACAAGTTGGTGTTAGCTCTGCCTAGCCTGCTTGATGGCCCATTAAGGACCATCAGCTACACAATTGACCCATGGAGAGAAGGCAAATACGCCTTGAAACTCAGTAAAGTATGCAGGGACTGGCCCATGTGACTCCAGACTCCATTTTGCTGTAATTTTCCACAGTGACAACAAAGAGGTGTTCTTACACCTGGAAAAGACTATAAAAGGCTGATGCCTCGTCTTCAATCCTACTTCTTACCTCTGGAGGAACTTTGCTACAAACTGAAGCTCTGAACAAAGGATTGAGGACCCATCCCAGCTGGGGATGTATTCCAGAGACTTGATTTGAACCTGCAGTTTATTCTATCGCTGCTGCAAGCCTGAACCAAGAACTTTGCCATTACTGTATGTAATTGATTCCATTTAACCGATTCTAACTCTCACCTATATCTTTTTCATTTTATGAATAAACCTTTAGATTCTAAAGGATTGGCAACAGCATGATTTGTGGGTAAGATCTGATTTGTATATTGACCTGGGTCTGGGGCTTGGTCCTTTGGGATCAGGAGAACCTTTTTTCTTTTACTGGGGTCTTGGTTTTCATAACCATTCATCCCCATAACGAGTGGCACTAGTGGTGATACTGGGAAACTGGAGTGTCTAAGGGAATTGCTTGTGTGACTTGTGGTTAGCCAGTGGGGTGAGACCAAAGTCCTCTTTGTCTGGCTGGTTTGGTTTGCCTTAGAGGTGGAAAAACCCCAGCCTTGGGCTGTAACTGCCCTGTTTTAGCAATTTGTCCTGAATTGGCACTCTCAGTTGGGTCCCGCCAGAACCGCATCGTTACACCACAGTGATTAATGTACATCAGTTATATTTTCAAGACTCCCTGCTATAAAAGATATTTAACGTGCCTTGGTTTTTATTATGGAGAGGGACGAGAAGGAGAAAGGGGGGTGTTGCTTGGCTGAGGAGGAAAAGATGGTAAGGAATGGACATAATTCTTTCTCAGTTGCCAAAGCCGGCGTGTTCTCCTCCCTGATCCTCCACCTCCTTCCCCCCGGATAACAGGACCCTGGATCTTCATTTTGAAAATATGGTCACCCTACCCCTGCCTCCGCAGAGTTCAAGAAATCTGCTGGAATGGGCCAGGCCCCCCCAGCCGTTGTACATTGTGTCTGAGAAGCAAATCCTGCTCCCCCCACCCTGCAACCATTAAAAGGAAACTCTGTGAGCTGGAACTTGTGGAGTTTCCTGCCCCCGTGTGGATTTTTCCCTGCACAGGGGATACCCTTGCTCTAGGGCACACAAATCATACCCTGCTTTACATATCCTGGTACTATTAAAGCCATACAGCCCTGCTAGTGTGGGTGTAGTTACACCTGTATAACTGGGTGTAGCTTATTCCTGTATGGAAAGGGAAACAAGCGTTCCTGGCATCAGGCACCTTTATACCAGTACAACTTGTATCCACACCGGGGGGGTTGCTGATATAACTCTTTTGTTTAAAAAAAAAAAATCCCAGCCCTCCCCAACACAGATCAGTACAAAAACTATATGCAGGGCAGGCCTTAAAAACATGTCTCCTCAACGTTCTTCCTGTATAAAATCCCTTCTGCTTTTCTACCTTGTCATTGTAGGAAGCTAGTTTCATTACGTTGCTGGTTTTGTATTTGTCAGATGGCTGCTCTGATTGTTCCAGCATGTCTGGGCTGGGATGCGTCCCAAATGCAAAAATTACCTGGTAATCCACAGCAGCTTCATCAACAGGCAGCACGGAGTGGTCTTTGTGACTGCGGGACTCTCTGCACACCACACAGATGGGGGTTTGATCCACTTCACAGAAGAGTTTTAAAAGTTCCTCGTGTTTTTCACACGCTTTCTTCCCCCTTGGCTCTGGGAATTTTTTGGCTATTTCAACTACATTCCTCAGCTGCCGGTTGGGCTGGAATTCTCCTTCCTGGAACGGTTCTCTGCACTGAGGGCAGGGATAGGAGGGGGAGGTTTTGGACTCCTTGCAGTACTGACTGATGCAGGATCGGCAGAAATTGTGCCCGCACTTGAGAATCACCGGATCGTTAAAATAAGCCAGGCAAATGGAACAGATAACAGCCTCTTGGAGATCTTTTACCCGGCTTCTTGCGGCCATGGCACCTACGAGAAAGAGGAAAATAACTTTTACTTTCACTTGGCTCAGAAATGTGTCTATCCCCGACTGAAGCTGGCCTCCGCCCTTCCTGCAACTGCCTGCCTTGTGCCTCCTTGCTGATCTGTCCTGAATGTGTTCGCTGGAGCCTGGGATCCTTCAGTTCTGGAAAGGAGAAAATACAAGGAGATAGGAGAGACGTGTATAAAACATAAAAGAATGAATATATTGAACTCCTACATTTGTACAGATTAGACTTTAAACAAATACTTCCCCGTGCTGTCATAAACAGAATTAAGTAAGTCAAGTCACTGAAGTGATACAAGCATTTCTAAATAAAAGAGCCAATCATAAAATCCCTCATTCCATGCCCACAAAAACAACAGTATTGGCAGAATTATGCCAAAAATATGCCGTTATACTTTCCTTCAACCATCATAGTTAGAAATTATTTTTTAAAATTTCAAAACAGGATCTGATGTGAATTAGAAATAGATCAGAGTTGCAATGTTAGTTTGATTGGGGCTGGAACTTTGCCAAAGTTCTGGTGTTCTCGAGCTAAAAAGATCCATTTCTAATACAAATAACGGATGTAATTTTATTATTACTGTATGTTGCCACATTTAAAAACTTCCTACGAGTTATCTAAACAATTAAATTAAAAACCCAGAACTATGGAGTGCCATGTTAAATCAGTTTTTTAATTTATTTGAAACATTCAACTACATTCAGTATTGCCAACACCATGTATTCAAAAATCATGAATAAGCCCTAAAAAAAAAAGTGAGAGAGATTTAAAAAAATAACACATTTAATTTTTTTTTATTTGCCTTCTGGTTACTGAGCCGTTAGATAACACTTGTGTCATGTTTTCAGTAGTGCTATTTGAAACAGAATTTCTGTTCCATGGGAAGTTCTGACATTTCAAAATTTATTTTGATTCTGAATCAGAATTTAAAAAATTGAAATTTCCCATCAACACATTTCATTTTGATGAAATCAAACTGTTTCATTCTGCTTTTGACTTAAAAAATAAGATAAAATTTCAAAATGAAAAGATGTTTTGAAACAAAAATGTGAACCAATCCATTCTGAAATGTGAAAAGGAACATTTCAACATTTTTGACCTGAAACTCAAAAAAGAGTCATTCAAAAAGTGGAAAGTAGGTCAAATTATGAACGATGAATTAAAAAAAAAAAAAAACACACGGATGTAGGAATAAAATTAGGAAGGCTAAGGCACAAAACAAGATTAAACCAGCTAGGGACATGAAGGGGAACAAGAAGACATTTTACACATAAATTAAATTCAGTGGACAAATGCAAAGTACAAGGAAGGAATAATCAGTTACACAAATACAAAACGGGAAAGGCCTGCTTAGGAGGGAATAGAGCAGGAAAGGATCTGTGAGTTATAGTGGATCTCAAACTCAATATGAGTCAACAGTGTAATACGGTTGCAAAAAAAGAATACATCCCAGAATGATGTTCCAACAGGAATGTTGTAAACCAGAAACGAGAAGTAATTCTTGTAATCTATTAAGCACTGATAAGGCCTCAACTAGAGTATGGTGTCCAGTTATGGGCACCACACTTGGGGACAAATTGGAGAAAGTCCAATGGACAGCAACAAAAATGATTAAAGGTCTAGAAAAATAATTGTGATGGTCCACGCCCCTAGGGTCAGGGCAGTGTGGCCGATCGGTCACAGTCTATGAAGCAGCCCTTCAGTGCAGGGCAGCGTGGCCTAGCGGCCGGAGTCTATAGAGTTGGGGGCGCCCACTATGGGGTGTGGCGGCCCCGGTAGGGGGACCCGGACCCACCCAACTCCACCAGGACCTGACCCAGGGCCCTAACAGTGGCGTAGCGGCTTGCCAGTGACTCAGCAGGGAGGTCCTACCGAAACATGCTGAGTTTCCCCAGGCGGGAGGTACCATTCCGTCACCCTCCCTGGGTCACTTCCTACCAGAGTCTGTGTTGGGGTTCCCCATGAGCTGTCAAATCCTTTGTGTTCAGCAGGGCTGGTCGTCTCCAGGGGCTCCTCCAGTCCCCGGGGTGCAGGCGGGCTGTGGACGGCTTCAATTCCCAGTGTAGTCAGAGGCTGTGGCTGGCCCTCCACAGGCGCTTCCCAGGCAGGTCCTTCCCCTGCAGCCTCCAGCCCAGAATGAGCTGGTCTCCCTCCCTTTATACTGCTAGAGCACTTGGAGCCTGTCCAGTCTCGCCAGGGAGGCGGGACTTCCGCTGTCCATAATATGGGCTTAACCCTGTCTGGGCTAGTGCGGGGTAAGCCGACCCTGTCACAATAACCTATGAGGAAAGTTTATAAAAAAATAGGTTTGTTTAGTCTGTAGAAGAGAAGACTGAAGAGGGGAATGATAACAGTCTTCAAGCACCTCAAAGGTTGTTATAAGGAGGAGGGTGATAAATTGTTCTCCTTATCCACTGAGGACAGGACAAGAAGGAATGGGATTAAATTGCATCAATGGCGATTTAGTTTAGACATTAGGAAAATCTTCCTAACTGTCAGGGTGGTTAAGCATTAGAACACATTACCTAGGGAGGTTGTGGAATCTCCATCACTGGAGGTTTTTAAGAACAGGTTAGATAATCAGAGAGGCTGATGCCTTTGCAGAGAAACTTGGACTCTCTAGCAGGAAGTATCAGCACCTAAGGCAACTCTCTGTTAACCGTGATTTAGGGTTTGTCTACACGGCCACTTTACAGCGTTGTAACTTTCTCACTCAGGGGTGTGAAAAAACACCCCCCGAGCGATGCAAGTTTTAGTGCTATAAAGCACCAGTGTAGACAGTGCACCAGCGTTGGGAGCCGCACTCCCAGCGCTGGTAGCTATTCCCCTCGTGGGAGTGGGGGTTTTTACAGCACTGGGAAAGCTCTCTCCCAGCGCTGGTGCCGCGACTGCACAGCCGCGGCAGCGCTTTAACATTGGTAGTGAAGACATACCCTTAGTAACTGATGATTAAAGGCACAGGCACCTTTACTAGTTACAAAGTCCAGGGTTCAGTGTGTGTTCACACAGCAACTTTTCTGCCATGCTGCCTGACCCTGTGTGTAATAGGCTAGGAAGGATTCGATTTTTATTGGTAAATGTTGGTAAACATCAATTTCATCATACAGACAAACAGACAAAATATAGTTTTATAAATAATAATTGAAATGTACAGGTAGGCAAGGTAAGAAAAATGCTGCTTGAGACCTTATTAGAGTTTGATTTAAGGATATTTATTTTTTATGCTTTGACATGTGATATTGACAATTTGTGTTTTAATGGTAATAAAACTTAAATGTTTTGAATCTCAACATCTGTCATTAAATAATTGTCTGACCATCCCCCATAGTGTCCCATAACTGTGAAAATTTAAATTGATAAAAATAAAAAGCGTAAAATAAACATCGATATTATCTATTGAAATTATGTATATCTATATAAAAAAATCAAATTCTGCCAAACCTAGGGAATTTTGGTAAAAACTAGCCAATTGTCCCACTGTCTATATGTCAATGAGGAAAACCATTGTTAGCTGGTATGGGTTACCTTAGGCTGCCGCATTTTCAAAGGACTGAAGATTGGAAAGGCATGTGCAAGTGTGTGATTTGTAGACACACTCGTTATGAACTACACTTGCAAATACAATAAACTCATCAGGATGTGGCTAGTTAAATAGCTAGCAGGGGATTTGTGCATGCATATTCACAACTTTAAGAATTATACTTTAAGAATTTAGGTGTATTAGAAAAAAAGGGGTGGAGTGTTAGGATATAGATATTCAGGCCTGTCTGTAAAGGCCTATACTTTAAGAATTTAGGTGTATTCTTATCATTTAGCTAGTTATAGAGGTATAAAAGAAAGAATCAAAATCACTGTTTGCCTGTGTAAGGGCCTTCTCTCATTGTGACAGTCTGAGGCCTGGTTCTTAGACTAAGGCCTTCGGCTAAGCAGCAGAGGCAGCCATAAACTGGGAAGTGAACGGTCACATCCTCACATCCCAAACTAGTGTGGAAGTAGAGCAAGAACTGACAGGGATTTGAAAGTGGATTTCAAATGCAAACAGTCTCTTCTGTGAGCAAGAGTCAGGCTAGCTGTAACCCTAATAACGCGAGACTTGTAGAAGCGAGGATTGTGTGAGGCGAGTGGGAAAGAACTGTGTGAGAAGTTGTTGCGACCTTGTGTAGATAAATATGGAATGTAGACTAGAGTCTAAATAAGTGAGAAAAATAAGATATCAGTGTTGGGATCCACTAGGCATAGCTACCAGGTAACTCGGGAGAGCGGAAGGCCAAAGTGTCGATGAAACTCTTTTGCTTTGGGCCTATCTGAAACCCCCAGACTCCATCTTGTGAACTCTCATCTATTTCTGTGCTAACTGCTTACATGTTAAAGTAGAAATGTATTGGTCAGTGTTTCTAGCACATGGCTGCAGTTTCACTCACACTAGCAGAAATAATAGAGATAAGGAGGGAACAGAGAGATAGTTAGTTTGCAGCTGTTTTCCCAGACATCCTCAAGGTATTTAGTGCAAAGGGTCAAGGAACGTACCGTGTTCTCCCTT